GCTTTGTCCTGAACATTTTTCTGGGAGGGTTCCTAAATTTATCTATCTCACTGATTTTTTAATTCCTTAAAACTTTGGCAGGTATTTGAACTCAACAGACAAATTCATCTGTTAAGGCATAAGACATTAGTTAAGTGCTATTTTATTTTCTTAGGAAACAAGCTTCTAGTGAAAACATTTATGGCAAAATCACTTCTTCCCATCTGCAGCCTAGTGCCTCAGACAGCTCCCCCACATGTTCCTGGGCTTGTCCTGGGGTTGATTCCTGGGAAAGGCAGAAGGAAAGAGGACATTTCTGACACTTCCCAGTGGGGAGACCCACTCAGGTCTGAACCTGGAACTTTTGTGGTGCTGAAAGGCTTGTGTTGCTTGGCCAGTGCCTATGTGCCTCCTGGGCCGGGGGGAAGGTACCAAAGAAGTGCCTTCCTTTACTGTCAGTGAACAGTAACCGCTCAAGTTGGACCATTCATGAAGCTGTAGCATTTGTTTAGCATCTGACAAGAAGCCTGCCAGTGGCACCTAAAACTTTGAAAGAAGAAACAGAAGTTTGGAAGTCTGAATGGCACGCTTAGATTTGAACCTAGACCTTCTAATCCAGAGCTCAAAAGATTAATTCTGAAATTCTCACTTTTGGTGGCTCAAAATTAGTTTTGTAGTCAGAATTAATAACAGTGTCATTGGGACCAAGGATATTATGTTAGCTCAGTGACATAGCACCTTCCTGGCAAGCGCAAGGTTGTGTGAATTTGAGTCCCAGTACAAAAGAAAACAAAAAAAAAGTGTTACCGTATTTTCCTACTGAATATGTTTCTTGACTGAGAAATACAATTGCTGGGAGTAGGAAGCTCTGTTTTGTAGAAAAAGTGTTTTTAGTGGGGGGAAAAGATACGTAGAAACGTAGAACTTTTGGTAATGTCTCTGGGTGCAGAATAATTTTGTAAAATGTAGAGAAACTACAGCATAAGAAAAATCTACAGTTTTGAAAATATTACTAGAGCAGTGTTTCAGGTCTTCTTGGTGAGTGGGGAAAGCACCGAGTGGACGCTTGTTAGAGAACTGGCTGTTCATGTAAACTATAAACTACGTGTTACCCACAGATTGTTCACTAGTTACAAAGAGAAACGCAGGCTGCAGCAATTGGCAGATCACAGAATCATCGAGGGGCAACAGTTGCTGTCAACAATAGAGGTGAACCTGCCACGGGCTTCCTGATGTGATGCCCTGAGAAAGCAGGATGCAGCATCACCTTGTGACTTCTTAGCAGCCATGTTTAGTTTGGAGATCTAATCATCAGGAGACCATTGTACAGGCGACATTTTCAAAGTATCTGGCTTACACCTTTCAAAAACATCAGCTTCGTGAATAATGAACCACAAGTGACTCAGGAACTATTTTAGATTGAAAGCAACCACGGAGACATGACAACCAAGCGTAATTGTCCACAGCCATACACAACTAATCAAAGCGGTTTGGGTCCTGATACAAAACTAAACAAAGCAGCTTTAAAAAAATTAAAAATGTTTTATACTATATCCTTGATTTATTAGCAGTGTTAGCCAAGGGCTTAGGAAACAAAAGTGTGATGGATGTCCCGGATATTTGTCATCTCTGCTTGAATGTTTACATCATTATGATCTAATTAATCCTTAACTCTTACCAATCACTGCTTGATTTAACTTAGTGTTCTCCTGAAGGTTAACTTTCCTCTGGCATTAATGTCTCTCCTGAGGCTGGGCCAGGCTCCCAGATCTTTAAAACAAATGTCTGAAGCATCTGGGCAGGCTTCAGACTTTAGGGTGGGAGGGCTTTTCTGCTAAGAGGGGTCCCCTGGATAACTTTTACAGACTCTGTGCCAGTACCAATTTAGGACAGCACAGTTGAGAACCCAGTGTCTTCGCTGGTACTCTGATAGTCTCCTGTAATTATTTGTTTCTCATTTTGCTGGATCGCAGGTGTCTTAGTCTCCTTTGCCATCACTCTAGTCTACTCCCCTGTGGTAGGGTGACAAAGCTATACCTATATTGGCTCCCTTTCTAATCCCCTTGATATGCTTCTTTGCCCTCCTGAGATCAGATACAGTTTTCCTGCTGTATTTGCTTTCCCATTTCTGGACACAATACGCAACACCCACAGTGTAAAGGAGAAAAGGTGGCCAGGAGTCATGGCACACATCTATAATCCCACCACTTAGGAGGTGGAGGCAGGAGGATCACCCCAAATTCAGGACCAGCATGAGCCACATAGTGAGACTCAGCCTCAAAAAGCCCAAAAACCAAAGGAAGCAAGGTGTATTTGATTCGCATGTTGAGGGATTCAGTCCTGGCTTCAGGCAGAAACAGCAGGTGGAAGGGCATGCCAGAAGAAAGCTGCTCAGTCCGTGCAGGCAAGAAGCAGAGAAGGGAGGAACCGGAAGCAACGCAGCCTTCCAGCCAGGCGTGGAGGTGCATGCCTGTGGCCCCAGTGCTCAAAGGCTGAGGCAGGAGGATCACTGCCTGGTACATAGTGAACTCGGGGCCTCAAAAAAAACACCCTTCTAGATCGCACCCCAAGTGACCACCTCCACTACCCCCCATCTTCTAATCATGCGTTCGGGTTCAGCTCCCATACTATCTGAGGATAAATCTGCTGAGGGGTGCGACATCCTCACGGCACAGTTACCTTCCAAGCACATGAGATTTTGGGGGGACCTTTGGGATCCAAAGCATAACGTGTCAATCAAGAGCTGGTCATTTGCCTGTTCCTTAGCAAGTGAAAAGAAAATAAAAAGTAAAAGAGGCAGTCATCATAGTATGTGCTCAATAAATATCATTGCATGGGCAGTTGAAATAATTAAACACTTCTTTCCCAAACAGCTTCCTATAGAGATTAGTTGATACTCATTTACTGTTCTTTGAATGAAATTACCTGGACTAGTTCCCTTGGCTACCTGTACAGCTTTCCCGCTCCTTTTCCAGCTTGAGTCTTCAAGAGGGAGCCTCAGAAATGAGTTCTAAAACCACTTGTACCTGGTGTGATTATAAAGCAATGAGACTGATTGTCATTTGTCTTTTGTGGGATCCGTCTCAGTTACTTTATAGCCAGACCTGGTATCTTAACCACAGATCCTTGCCTGTTGGACAACATTTTAAAAGCACAAACCTAAGGTTTCTAAACTGTGAGCATTAGTTTTTATTTTCTCTAATTTACCACAATGCTTGTTTCAGAAAGGTAATTAGATGTTAACTTTATTGCTTGCTTTAATTGTGCAGTCTTCTTTTTGTTTGTGGGTTTTTAATGAGTATTCTGGTAAACTGCTGTTCTGATAAAGTGGCTGGAACAATTTTGAATAAGGTAATGCGCAAATTGTGTTCCATTGGAACAGTTTTCATAAAACTCCGTTTATTACTGACTCTCCTTATTGCATATAGTCTTTGGACTGCAGTTGTAGCATAACAATGATCCTTTTAGGTAAATGTGATGAACATAAAACCAGTGTTTTAGTATTCATTCAAGAGGATTTTGAAAGGTCGAGTTTTGGGGTGTCTGCCTATTTGTTTGGTTTGGTGTTTATGTTTATATGCACAGACCTTGCTCAGATTTAAATAAGTAATTATAATTTTCTTTCCCAAATAAAATGTTGTTCCCCTTCTCCTCACTTCCAGTTTCTCTTAAGGTAGTGGTCACAAACCTGTGACATGCATGTTACTGTGTTTTTCTTTTAAGACAAAAATGTTAATATAGACTTGTTTTTTCTAAACTAAAAACCTCAGTGTTCTGGTTTAATTGCAGTTTTTGACACTTTGCAGTAAATAAGTGGGTTTCAGGTTGCAGTTAGCACTCCTCTCTAAAAGGCTTACTGTGGCTGTCTTAGGGACTCTTGGAAGGAGGCAAATTATAAAGGTTGTGTGCCCTCATGTCAGGCAGAGATGTGATCAGTGGGAGGGGCTGCCCGCTTCCTTAAGTAAAGTAGAAGCTTTGCCTTTGTGGGGAAGGGGAAGGGATAATAATGCCTGCTGTCCCCAGAGAGGTGGTTTCTTGCCGTTAATGATTACTGCTTCTGGAGAGCACACAAGGGAAAGGACCATGTGATTCAGGAGGCAACTTTAAACCAGCCTCACATTTAACTTCCCACTGGGGCCAGGGGCAGACCTCTAGACAGCTATAAAAGCTGAAGGTTTTTGATGCTGAACTAGTTGAAGCATGGACCTGTCTCAAAAACGATTTGAGTTCCAGAAGGCTCTGGAATAAACTGGGAAGGAGGCTCACCCAGTCAGGTCTAGGGATAAGACCAAAGTTAGTCGGATGTTAATAAAATGCCCTGCCATTTGGCCCTTTGTTGTCTTAGCAGTGTGACAGGTGTTTGTCCTGAGCCATGGTAGTGGATGTTACAAAGCTGCGTGCTCTGGGCCGCAATGTCTGTTACGCAGTTCCACTCAGTAGGGGTTCCACAAGTGATCCCCAGGATGGCAAGTGCAAAAAGCACCTGTGTGTACTATAAATCACTACTCTTCCCCCTTTTCTTAAGAAATTAGGGCTCTGTGGAGACCATTTTAGATAGAAAAGGCACTGTAAGTTCATCATGATTTTGTCACATTTCTATGACTGTGTATCACTATTGTTTGTCACATTTGACTGGTTTCATAGGACTTTTTAAATGTAGCTGTGGCTGGGTGTAGTGGTGCACACCTGTAATTCCAGCACTTGGGAGGCTGACGCAGGAAGATTGCCACAAGTTTGAGGCCAGTTTGGACTACATAGTGAGTTCATTCGTAGCCTAAACTACACAGCAAGACCCTGTCTCAATCTAACTGAAGTTAACTGTGAGACAAATCAATATGGTTAACTACACCCCATGCCCACTTTATTTCATTTCTGTTGAAAAGTTGAATCTGCAAATCCTTTCCACAACAAAAATTGGAGTAGTTCTTGTAAAGAACTTGCTTGCTTATGAATGTATGTGTGTATTTGCTGTTTCTACAATTTTAAATGTCACTTGAATCTGTATTTATTTTCTATTACAGGCACTGGAGACATTATTGCTGTCATGATAACAGAATTGAGGGGTAAGGATATTTTGAGTTATCTGGAGAAAAACATCTCTGTACAGATGACAATAGCTGTTGGAACTCGAATGCCACCAAAGAACTTCAGCCGTGGCTCTCTAGTCTTCGTGTCAATATCCTTTATTGTTTTGATGATTATTTCTTCAGCATGGCTCATATTCTACTTCATTCAGAAGATCAGATACACGAACGCACGCGACAGGAACCAGGTGAGCTCTGGTACTCTGCAGTGATGCTGCTTACCAGCCAGGAGCCGTTCATAGCTGTAGCATCATGCACCTAGCAGGCCTTTTTTTTTTTTTTTAACTAAAAACAAAATTTTAACATTCAGCTTGTCTTTTAATATGTTGCAAACATATCAACACAGATATTTTAAGGATATTTTAAATATGTAAAGGAAAAATTATTACATTTATAGGTATCATTAACAATATGCTTACAGAGATAGTTTAACATCATGATATGATCTAAATGATTCTCTTAATTTGGAGAAATATCACAAAGTTACATTTTTAAACTGGTAATTTTGGTTGTCACTAGAAAGGGGATCTAGGAAGATTGAGGAGATTCCATTCTTTTTCACATGGATCTTCTTACCCATGTGAAGTTTGAAATACGTGTTACCTGTTCAGGGATGAGACTCTCTTAAGTTCCTGTCATAGCTAAGCTCAGATTTGGTGAGAGTGAGGCAAAGAGGTGAAGAAGAGATCTCCAGAGATCATATTAGAGATTCCATCCAGTGCCTCAGTCTCAGCAAGTTTTGGTTGAATAAATGAAGACACTGTCGAGGCCGTGTGCCACTCTGGAGTGGAAGGCCTAGCGGTGAGGGTTCTCTTGGTTTCTTGATGTTCCAGGATCCTGGTTTGAGCTACTAGGTCCTTGTTTTAGACATTTCCTATAGAAATCTGTGCTCATAAGGTTTCTGTCCTTGTGACAAAATATCTGAGAATAGTGCCTTTTCCTCTTTAGAGAGGAAAATTTATTTTGGGTCATGATTTCAGAGGTTTTAGTCCTTTGCCAGCTGGCTCCGTTGCTTTCAGGCCTGAGACAGGGTGGAAATGTCATAGCAGAAGGGCATGTGGGAGGAAAGCTGTTAGTGTCATGCCTACCAGGAAGCAGAAAAAGACAAAACAGAGGACAAAGATACAGTCCCAGGGACACGCGCATATGACCTTTCTCTGTAGGTCCTTCTCTTCAATTTTTGTCACCTCACATTAATGCCATCCTAGAATTCTGTCAGGGGATTAGTCATCTATGAAATTAAAGTTGTCATGATCTCTGATCATTGGGGCATGTTTAGGTCCAAACAGGACCTAACTGCTGGGAGAGTGACTTGCAGCTGAGTTTACCTAATGCCATCTTCTCCTGCGGGCAGTCAGAATCCTAGAGGGGATTGGGCCTTTCTTCCTGCCTCATTCTAGTGAAAGAAACACGAGCTTTCCATGAAGCAGGTTTGAATTCAGATTCCCACCTATCCACCAGCCTGCAGTGCTCCCCCTTGGACAGTTTGTTTAGCTTTTAGCCCCATATCTTCATCTGAAAATCAGTAGGAAATTTCTGTGTTTGTGTTTTGCAGTGCTAGGGATGAAACACAGGGTCTCATGCATGGTGAGCAAGTGCTCCACAACTGAGGCAGCCCCAGCCTTTAAAATTTCTGAAAGCTGACTTCTTAAACACTTACATGCCAGTATCTATGCAGTATCTTGCATACCTTAGAATTTTTTATCTTGTTTGATTTTTTTATAATTGCCAACTTGCAAAAAAAGTATAAAATAATGTAAAGTGTAGGAGATGATCAAGGTGGCTCCCCTTGAATGCAGAACAATTACTGTAGTATTAGTTAAACTAAACCTTGTCTGTAGGTACTGATATGTATAGAACTGGCTGTGTTATTTTTTTTTAAATTGGCTGTAAGCAGTATAAGTAAGGCTAGCTAAGGTATTGATACATAATCCTTGAAACCACCTGACAGTTTTCACACCATGTTTTTTTTAATAAACATTTGAGCACAGTGGGTGGCAGAGCCACATAGCTCCAGGAATGGGTTTGAGCTACAAATAAGAGGCCATGACTTCCCAGGGCACAAAAGTTTACATATCAGAAGCTGAAGCAACAGCCTCCTAAATCACTCAAATGCTACCTCAGTTGAGTTATGCATCTTGGTCTTTGTGCACACCCTTCTCCTGGAGTGTGGCAGAGGCGCTTGCTCTCCACCTGGCCAGCTCAGCTCACATTGCTCATGTAATTCCCACCAATCTCACCATCACTCCCTTCTTCATGAGATAGTAAATTCTGGATGAGGCCTTGGGTCAAGGCCTTTGTTCCTGTACCCTCAGCTGGACCATATGCAGGACCCCTTGGCTGCTCATAACTTTGAATAGATGCTAAGGCATCTTTATTTTCACTGTGGTTGCGCTGATGGTGATAGATTAAAATTAACTCACCAGGATTCCAATAATATTTCAATGGGAATACAAATATAAAATCTTTCAAGCCATAAAAAACAAAAAAAAAGATAATTGCAATATTTAGATTGTAGTATACAATATTTAATTTATAATAGTAAAGCTTTCCCATCACTCAGATTCCCTAGCTGTTAACATTTTACTGTTTTCTTTTCCATGTCTATATCTTTTTTTAACCATTTTTGAGTAAATTTCAGGTATGAAACCCCTCTCCTTTTAAGTATTTCATCATATTTTTTGTTAAAAATAAGAAAATTACCTTACCATAAGCACAATACAATTATCAAAATTAGGAAGTTAATATTGGTTCAGTCAGATACTGTCTGATCTATAGATCTGTTTCAGGTTGTACAAAACTGGCTCAATAATGTTCTTGAGAGAAAAAAGGAAAAAACCCAGGATCAACTGGAACAGATTATGTGTTGCATTGAGTCTGTCTTACTGTTTTATGACACTGACTTTTTTTTTTTACACTGACACTTTTGAAGTATGTAAGTCAGTTATTTTGTATTAGTCTGATGTTCTGTTCCTTCATGATTAGATTCAGATCATATGCATCTTGTTAAGATACCAGTCTTACAACTTTTATTTTGATGATTGTATATTTACTTGCATTTATAAGAAGTGATAGAGAGAGACCCGTACCCTGCACTCATTTTTCTCCAGTGGTAATGTCTTGTTTAACTATAAGAAATGGCCTCTGGTGATGTCACCATATCTTACCTCAGCAAATGTGCTAGATATGCAGTGACATCCTTTGGTGGTTTAATTCTCATTTCTACAAGGAGTACTGATTTTGAACATATTTTAATGTGTTTGTCATCTGAATATTGTCTTTAGTGAAATGTCTAAATATGTCTCTTGCCTGTTTTGTGCCTACATTGTTTTTGCCGTTGGGTTTTGAGAGCTTCGTATATATCCTAGATACAAACCCTTTTTGGGATACATGGATTTGCAAATATTTTCTCATCATCTATAATTTGTCTTTTCAACATCTTAATGAGGCCACTTGGGGATCAAAAATTCTGATAAGGCTTAATTTATGAAGTTTTCTTTTTTATGAATTACACTTTTAGCGTCATCAAAGTATAAATAAAATTCTGGTTAGCCCTAAATATCCCACAGATTTCTCTCCTTGTCTTTTCTACAAGTTTTATAGTTTTACACTTCAAGTTTAATTCTGCAGTGCATTTCGTTGAAACTTTTCCTGTTTTGCATTGTTTAGTACTATAAGTTATCCACACTTCTTTAGCTGTGTACCACACTTTTAACATAGATTTTCATTCACCTCTTTGCATTTTTTCTTTAGAAACTTTCTTTTTGACCCAAGTATTAGTGTGTTTAACTTTCACTTGTTGAGAGATTTTGCTGTTGTGTTAATGGTAATTGATTTCTAGTGTGATTCAATTATCAGAGAAATGCGCTTTTTTTGGTGGTGGTACTGGGAATTGAACTCAGGGCCTGGTGCATGCTAGGCAGGCCCTCAATTTTTATCTCTTTCTTGAGGTTTGTGATCTAGCACAGTAATGGCAAATCTGTGGCATGTGTGTTATTGTGTCTTCTTTTAAGGCAAAAGATGTTAATGTAGCATTGTTTTTTCTAACCCCAAACCTCAGTATTCAGGTTTAATTGCAGCACTGGCAGTAAATGAGTTGTGAGTTGCAGTTAGCACTGTCTCTGAAAGGTTCTCATCACTGGTCTAGGATGTGGTCTAGCTTGGCGACTGTCTCATAGTTGCTTGAAAAGCTCTGTTCTGCTGTTGAGTGGAGCTGGATCTGTGCACTCAGCCTGCCTGCGTGAGGAGCTGGCCGGGAGCTCATTTTCATTCTCAGCGGTGGTGGGACCAGGATGGGGGAGGACAGTGAGGCCCTCTTTGGGTCTGAAAAAGTCACCTTGTGACACATTTTAAGTAAAATAACCAGGAACTACTCTAACATGTTATTTTCGATTAAATAAAACAAAAACCTGTAAGTAATGTGCTGATTGTACAGTACCCAGAGACCTGCTATTGGAAGATAGTACTTTAATTAGCACCCAGCATGGGGCCTGAGTGTGACGGAATAAACATCATAGCAATCACCATCTGGCACAGGCCACTAACGGGGACTCTTGTTTCTTAGCATTCATTTTGCTGCTCCTTCCAAAGCGTCCCTTCCAGACAATGGAGTGTTGGAAAGTGATGTTCTGACCTTTTTTCCTCCTTCTCTGTTTCCTGAGATTGAGAAATGCTTAATGAAATTTTTATGTGGCTTAAAAAGCTTAGTTTATTAAAGTTTAATAAGAAAGTGGCAGCAACTTGACTGGTTGAAACCTTTGGCTACCTTAAAAAGAGGAGACAGAACTATTAGCAAAAGAAAAACAGTTTAGGGAGACTGATTTTTGGCTGCAAAATATTACAATGAAGTACAGTTCTCTCTGCAGAATATGCTAAAGATAGGGGCTGGGGATTTAGCTCAGCGGCATAAGTGCCTCCCTTGCAAGCGTGTGGTCGTGAGTTTGATCCCTGGTACTGGTAAAAAAAAAAAAAAAAAAAAGAATATGCTAAAGGTAAGTACCTTTTGCATCTTCATAGTCATTCCTGAAACCATTTTACATGTGACATGAAAATCTCTGCATGCAACTATTACAGTACATCTAAATATTATGTTTAGGTACAGATAATTCATACAGCTGATGATAAGGATAAATACTACCTTCAGATTAATGCTATTTGCTACGTTTACTTTCTGAGAAATGTAAGTTATTTTACGATATTTTGGTTAATATTGCAGCACCAGTGTAGGAGGCCACGTACTGGGGATTGAACCTAAAAGCTTATGCATGCCAGGCAAAGCACTGTACCACTCAGTTATTTCTCCAGCCCTTCTTATGTTCTAATTTAAAAACAGAACCCAAGCAAGCTGTCCTCAAAATCACAGTCCTCTTACTTAAGCTTTCTGAATAGCTAGAATTTCAGGCATGTGCCACCATCTCTGGCTAACACTGCATCATTAATATCAAAGTCACCAAATTTGATTGCTAGCATAGAACAATAAAATTTTATTTTCTATTGAAGAAAAGGGTAAGTATTAAAAAATTCTAACCTAATGGACTCCTCAGTTTAGAATACCTTATGAAAATTTTCTGAGGAAATGCATAAAATTTCTAACATTTAAAATATACAAGAGCTTCTTACCTTAACATATGCAGAATTTACCCAAAAATTGTATACACACTTGAGGAAAAGAAAAAATTTACATAAATATTTTAATACTAAATTTATTGAGACATTATAGATTCATGCACGTTACCTTTGACCTCTACAATTACAAGAAGTGCTCACAGTGGCGGCCATTAGCTTCTAGACACTCATTAGTACAGCAAACTGCTGCTTGGGCAGCCTTGGTCACTGAGATCCTGCACATGCATTTTCAGTTTCTTCTCTGAGGGCAGGCAATGCAGTGGGTTTTCTGCAGCATATGACATCCCCAGGGTCCTCAGTAAGAGGATAACACCATCGGTTGAAAAAACATACTACTATTGTTCTTTTCCTGAAGTGTGTATACATATTTTGGGCAGATTCTGTATATAAAGAATTCTTAGACTTTATAAATGTCTCAAGGCTACTGGAATGAAATTAATTGCCCATTTTCATCTGAGAAAGTCAGTATGTATTAACTGGAGCATTTAGTTGCCTGTCATTTGGAAGTCCATGGAGTATCCCTGTGTCAGGAGAAAGTGAATACTTTGTATTTAATCTCTGAAAAATGATGGATTCAAAACATTTTCTTTCCAAATTGGGAATGGGTGGAAGTTTTGGATATACTATCAAGATGTTTCTTCTAAGAAAAAATTAAATGATCAGAAAAAGCATATCTCTGTTGTCATCATTGGATAATAGAATGAATTTTGTTGATTGTGGTTTTTAGGATTTAATAATTCCAGAAGAACAAGAAAAGAAGAATAGGTGTCTGTCCTGAGAAGTTATTGTTTTAGTAGTTTTTTTAGATATTGCAAGTACTTTTTCATGTTCTGCTATTACGATCAATTTATATAAATGAATAACACTTTCCATATACAGACTTTGTCTTCTAAATGTTATATAGCAAGCACTTAAGATTTAAATTTTTTAAGCAGAATATACTGTTAAAGAGGAGTATTTTGAAGACATTCATTTCTAGATCCTTTGGCATGGCACAGCATCATGCTGACTTAGTTAAGTAGTTAAAGGAGTCAAAGGACGAGCTCACATTCAATTGGAAGGCAGACAGTTGCAGTCCAGATCCGGTATGGTATGAGGGTTATTCCTTTGGGACAGAATGATTCTGCTCTTCATGAGTCATGGCCACTTCACAGGGAGATCATGACATTTGAGCTTAATTTCAAAGGGTGAATAAGACGTCATCAGACAGAGACCAGGAGGAAAGCCAGATAGAGATCCTTTTCTACCAAGCCATGGAGAAATAAGAGTAGAAAATTGAACGGTGAGGCCTGGGGAATAGTGGGGAGAGGGAAAGATGGTGCGCCAGCCATAGATGAATAAATCAACAGTGACAAACAAAGGCCTTGAACCCCATTCTGAGGAATTCAGACCAGATTCTCTAAGCAGTCTTAGTTGAATCTTACCCTGAAGAGTTTAGACTGTATTTTCTAAGTAATACTAGAGTATGAAGAGCCTGAATTACATTCTGAGGAGTTTAGATGTACTGTCTAAGCAGTCAGGGTTCTGAGCAAGATGTTCTAACAGCAGAGCCGTGTGAGACGTTCCTGGTAGACGAGATTGAGAGGAGGGACCCTAGAGGAAGACACACAGCAGCGGAGATGCATCGGCTTCTCTGAGACTGGCAGGAGTTATGGGGCACAGGCAGATGACTCTAGGGAGACAGAGACTTGTCTTTTGAAATAAAAGAATGGTGGTGATGAGAGAGCGAATGAAGAATGGTGCAGACGACGGAAAGATTACATTCACAACACCTGGGTTTCACCAGTGTTTGAAAGAGAAAATCCTGCTGTCCCGTGACGCAGACCTCATTCTGTGTGTATGGCAGAGTTCTGATTATTGACCTGAATTATTTTCATCAATGACTGGTCCTCAGTAGACAGAATTTGAACAAATTACTCCTATTAAATCAAGCAACATGAGTTGTTTTAAATTGTTTTCTACCAATTTAAAACATATTTGATATTGCATTCAACTATAGAATAGGGTTCAACGAGGTGGATTGGGCAGATTTCACCAAGTGAAACAAGATAGCATTTGGCCCCTGACCATTAGTCCCTTGAGATTTTATAATGTAGACTGTCTGTCAAACATTGTACACTGGAAAAAAGACTGGGCTACACAGCCGGGACTGAGGATCTAGTCCCAATAGTTTTTTTAATGATGGGTAGATCACCTCTGGTCCCTTGGGGCTTGGTTCTGATTTGTAAAATGATACATTCCCCTGGTTTTGTAGTGAAACCTTGAGTTTTATTATCTGACGAGTGGGGCACAGTCAAATACCGAGATGCAAAGGAGGATGCTGAGGGTGCAGCTTAGCGGTTGACTGCTTGTGTAGCACCCAAAGACCTGCCTTTGATCCTCAGGAAAAGAGGGAGGAAGAGGGAGAAAGAGAGAGACAGAAAGGAGAGAGGAGAGTAAGTAGCTAGAGCATAATAGGAAAAGAAACTAGAGTTGTAGCTTATCCTTGTTTAGTGACTTTCTCTTAACAGTCACACACCATATCTGCTACCAGATACCCGTATGTGGGTTTTTTCATGCACCAAGCAAGCAGTCTTGCAGCTTGGAGCGAGCAGTACCCAGTGATTTGGTTCAGTTCTAATACTATTTGCAGATAGTGAGAGATCTCACAGACTGACACCACTTCATTGCCAGTCACAAACGCCAGACTGGTTAACCTGTGCTTTTCACTGACTGACTGTAAATTGGGGTTCTGGTGATTCCCTATTGGGGATTGATTAACTAGGGCACATTTAATGGTATAAGTATAAAGGATGTTAAAAGGATACAAATGAAGAAGTATGCACATGGAAATCGGCTTGGAGCTCACACCCCCTCCTCCACCTTCACCTGTTGGGCTGCCTGGAAGCTCTCCAAACCCAGTCATTTTGTGGGTTTGTGGCTTTATGATGTAGGCATGGCTGATTGACTCATTGGCCATTAGTGATCACCTCCTCTCTCTTCCCCACAGTTGGAAGGGTAGAGTTCAAAAGTCCCACTCCTTCCCCCAAGCATGCCTTGGTCTTAACTATGACCGCCTGAAGCCACCCAGGGTTGCCAGCTGGCTGTCAACTTATGAATATGCAAAAGACACTTACCACTTCAGAGATTCCAAGGATTTTAACAGTTGAATGCCACTGGGTGTGGTAGTGCATGCCTGTAATTCTAGCACGTGGGAGGATAAGACAGAGGGTTGCTGCAAGTTGTAGGCCAGCCTGGGCTCCACAGTGAGCTCAAAGGCAGCAGCTATAGCTGCTGAACTACAAACTGTAAATGCCACCAGAAAACAAACCAAATATGTATTTCTCAGATTCACAGTCTCAAACTGTAGTATACAGAAGAATCATGTGGAAATACTTTTTCCTTTTTTTTTTTTTTTTTGTTTTGTTTTTGGTAATGAGGACTTTTTATACTTGCAAATTCCCAAGACACACAGACACACATATGTGTGTGCTTCTGTGCTGTCTGATTCAGCAGACCTGTGTAGGGCCTCCTTAATCAGTTTGTCATCCAAACAAATTAGGTAATCTCTTTGCATCAGTGTCTTCTGTCAAATGGCAAAAATATAGTTGTGTCTCATAAAATAATTGTGAAGAGTAAATGTAAAGGGCTTACAACAGTACCTGGTGGGGGCTGGGGATTTAGCTCAGCGGCGTAAGCGCCTGCCTTGCAAGCAGGCAGTTGTGAGTTCCATCCCTGGTACCGATAAAAAAGAAAAAGACAAAAAAAAAAAAAAAAAAAACAACCGTACCTCGTACTGTACATGCAATGTACTAAATAAATCCTAGTTACTATAGATATTATTATTTCATATCATCATCACCATCAAACACCAAAAGAAGATTTAATGCATTTATCCCCTTGAAAAATAGTGATTTAATAGCATGGTGTTTAGGTAAAAAGGTAAGAGTCTTTAATTAAAGTGCTCTTCATGAAGGGAAATTACACTTTTAGGTATTTGAGTCAGTGGGATACAGTGTTAGAACCACCTGGGTGTAAATGCATCTCTAGACTTAAAGAAAAGACAAAAAATGTATGCGTATGTGTGTAACTGAAGTTTACCATCATCGAGTGATGGGAAGTGTCAGAAGGGTTTAAAACTCAAGAGATAATCCAGAGGAAGATGGTAGCACTAAATCCAGGCTCAAAAGAAAATACTGCATAAACGTACTGCACATTAACATCAGACGTAGAAAAAACGAACTTTTATTTTGGCCCGGATACTGGAGGAGCTGAGCTAGGCAGTTAGCCTAAAGAACGCAGTAAGGGACTTGGGAGAGGCGACCCGCCAAAGAATGGATGCAACAACCTAAAATGAATGTTTAAATGCAGAATATAAAATAACATGGAGAAATAATCAGATAAAATGAAAGGGAAGGCACTGGTTGTAACTGGATGGATAGTTAGACTAGTGAATAAATCTAAGAATTTGAGAACTGTGTAGGGTCTGAGGATTTAGCTCAGCAGCATAAGCACCTGCCTTGCAAGTGTGCAGTTGTGAGTTCGATCCCCAGTACCAATTAAAAAAAAAAAAGAACTGTGTAAAGTTGGATCATAATGAGAATACCTTCAGATATTTTTCTGAATATAGACAAAATGTGAAATGCATATGGAAGAGTAAGCAGCTAAGAGTAGCCGGAAGAACACTGAGAGGGAGAAGCAATGGTTGACGGCTAGCCACACCGAGTTGTCTAATACAGCGTAGCCACACCAAGTTTATAGTACATAGTAAAATTTACTGTTTAAAAGCGTGTTAAAAGTTAAATCACCCTTGCCCGTCCCCACCTCTGCCCGCCAAAGTCTGCGCGCGAAATCCGTGGCGCCAAACTGGGACTGCCGGGTTCGTCGCGCCAAGCGAGTGCGGTGTTTGGGGCAGCCGCGCACCAGGGACAGCTGACAAAAAAAAAACCCAAAAATCCTGGAAAGGAGAATTCTAGTGCCATCATGCAGCGGAGTATCATGTCATTTTTTTACCCCACCAAAGAGGGTAAAGCAAAGAAGCCTGAGAAGGATACCAACAAGGGCAGCGGCAGAGAGACAGAGCCCCCTCCAAAGGCGGCACTGAAGGAGCAGAATGGAGTGCTGCCTGATAGTGACTCTCCAGTGAAGAGGTCAGGGAGGAAGGCAGCGTGGGTCTTGAGCAGCGAGGGAGAGGAAGAAGATGAAGCCCTCAGCCCCACCGAAGACCAGAAACCTGAGCCAGATTCCCCACAGGGGTCCCCGCCCAACCTCGCCAAATGTCCCAAGAACAGCCCTTCCTTCTCGGCACCTCCCCGATGGACATCTCCTCTTCAGGAATACCAAAGCGACTCACGGCTCGGAAACAGCTCCCGAGACGGGCATTCAGGACGTCTTGGAGGATCAGAATGAGGACAAAGACAGAGAAGCCAAGAAGAGGAAGGAGGAAAAAGAAGCAGAGACTCCAAGAGAAAGCCCCACAGAGACTGAAGCGGCAACAGTGAAGGAAGAAGAGGAGGGGGATCAGCCCTCGACACCCCCTGAGCCCCCCAAACCCCCCAAAGCAGAAGCCCCAGCAAAGACAGAAGGTGTTTCCACACCCAAGGTACCCCAGAAGCAGGAGCCACAGGAAAAGAACCAGAGCAAGGCTGCCCCCAGAGTCTGCAGGACCCTCAGCAGTTTCTTCACACCCCGGAAGCCATCGGTCAAAACCGATGTGGAACAAGAGCACTCAGGCACCCCGGGAAAAGAGGGGGCCAAGAGATCCCTGGGCCCAGTGAGCTGCAATCCCGCTAAGAACAACTACCACCCCATCGAGGATGCCTGCTGGAGACAGGGCAGAAGGTTCCTTCCCTGGCTGTGGCCCGGACATTTGAGAAGACTGAAGAGGTTTCTGCTCGGCTCCGGATGGTGCAGACGCTGAGCGACTTGCTGCGCTCTGTGGTGGCCCTGTCCCCTCCAGACCTGCTCCCGGTCCTCTGCCTCACCCTTAACCGCCTTGGGCCTCCCCAGCAGGGCCTAGAGCTTGGCGTTGGTGGTGGTGTCCTTCTCAAGGCCGTGGCCCAGGCCACGGGCCGCCAACTGGAATCTGTCCGGGCTGAGGCTGTTGAGAAGGGAGACATTGGGCTGGTGGCTGAGAACAGCCGCAGTACTCAGAGACTGATGCTGCCACCACCCCCTCTTACCACCTCTGGGGTCTTCTCCAAGTTCCGGGACATTGCCCGGCTCACTGCAATGCTTCCATGACCAAGAAGATGGCTATCATCAAAGGCCTCTTTGTTGCCTGCCGCCACTCAGAAGCCCGGTTCATCGCCAGGGCCCTGAGTGGACGGCTGCGCCTCGGGTTGGCCGAGCAGTCGGTGCTGGCTGCCCTTTCCCAGGCTGTGAGCCTCACACCCCCAGGCCAAGAATTCCCTCCGGCCGTGGTAGATGCTGGGAAAGGCAAGACCACAGAGGCCAGAAAGACATGGCTAGAGGAGCAAGGCATGATCTTGAAGCAGACATTCTGTGAGGTACCTGACCTGGACCGAATCATCCCTGTGCTGCTGGAGTATGGCCTGGAGCGACTCCCGGAGCACTGCAGGCTGAGCCCAGGGGTCCCTCCCTCTGAAACCTATGTTGGCCCATCCCACTCGGGGTGTCAGTGAGGTCCTGAAACGCTTTGAGGAGGCAGCCTTCACCTGCGAGTTCAAATACTATGGGCAGAGGGCACAGATCCATCTTCTAGAAGGCGGGGAGGTGAAGATCTTCAGCAGGAATCAGGAAGACAACACAGGGAAGTACCCCAACATCATCAGCCGCATCCCCAAGATTAAACTCCCCTCAGTCACATCCTTTATCCTGGACACTGAAGCTGTGGCTTGGGACTGGAAAAAGAAGCAGATCCAGCCGTTTCAAGTCCTAACCACTCGCAAACGGAAGGAAGTAGATGCTGCAGAAATCCAGGTGCAGGTGTGTCTGTATGCCTTCGACCTCATCTACCTCAGTGGAGAGTCTCTGGTCCGTGAACCCCTGTCCCAACACCGGCAGCTGCTCTGGGAGAACTTCGTAGAGACAGAAGGCGAGTTTGTCTTCGTCACCTCTCTGGACACCAAGGACATGGAGCAGATTGCTGAGTTCTTGGAGCAGTCAGTGAAAGACTCCTGCAAGGGGCTGATGGTGAAGACCTTGGATGTTGATGCCACCTATGAGATTGCCAAGAGGTCACACAACTGGCTCAAGCTGAAGAAGGACTACCTTGATGGCGTGGGTGATACCCTGGACCTCGTGGTGATCTCTCCGTGGAACACGTGTAGTGAGGCACATAAGTAGCCTCGGCCTGGGGTGGAACCTGAGGGGGCATTAGGGATGCACAGGTAGCCCATTGGTCTTAGTTTGGCGCCAGAGGTAATTCCTAAGGGTGGGGGAAGATAGGACCTCCTTGGCTTTACCGGCTACAGTTTCCGGCCTGGGCCAGCAACTCTTTCAGATATTTAGTACAATATATAATAAAAAGCACCATCTGTCAGTGGCCAAGAGGGACATTTTAGTCCTGGGGAACAGCTGTGCCAGGTGTGGCTGCAGCTGCCTGTGCAAACCCATTGCTTGAGCGACTGAGGTGAGGAGAGCTCGGTCTCACAAGTTTGAGACCAGCCTTGGCAACACAGTGAGAACCCCATCTCAAAACAAAGGAAAGCAAGGAGGACCCTGGAGAAACACAAAATTGGGTAGATTCTATGCCCTATGTACCAGGATCAATTTTAAATGAGGCAGAGATATATTTATATGCAATAAACCGGAGAGCATTAGAAGAAAACATAACCTAAAATTTCTTTTGTAATGGGGGACTCGAGCCCCGTATAGTGGTATATGCCTGTGATCCCAGCACTAGGGAGGCAGAGGCAGGAGGCTCACCATAAGTTCAAAACCAGCTCGGCCTACACAGTGAGTTCAAGACCATTCTTAACTACATAGCAAGATTCTGTGTCAAAAAAGAAAATAGGGCAGGGACATGCTTGGGGTAGGGGTTCTGAAAACTTTCTAAATTATGGCTTAAAATTCAGTAAAATTTGAAAAATTGATAAATTCCATTGTATTAAATATTTTTAAGGAAGATCAAAAGGTAAATGAGCAACAAAGGTAGGCAAAGTTGTTTGTGACTTAAACCAAGGGCTAACATTCCTGAGGTTTAAAGATTAAAAACCTGGTATTAAAACAATGGGTGAAAACCGTGGAGACAACAGTGCTTAAAACGTTAAATGATTTCAGCCTGACTCCGAAGTCAAGTCTGGTTTAAAAACACACCAAAACACCATTCCTTACTGATCATTTTGACCACATGCCGTGCGCAAGGTCGTGGGTACACGTCTTCATGTGTTGGTGATGGGCTGTCACGGTGGGAAGGCAGGTGCTTATCGTCTAGCAGTAGCTGTGTGTGTGATTATTACAAAAATGAGAAGTGACAGATATGAGACTCTTCAGTGCAATGCTTTTTAATAACAGAGACTTGCCCACCGAGGTCTGGCTGAGTGAGCCAGTACTCTGCAGCGAAATTCTGAGTGCAGTGGAGCAGCTCATAGCTATAAAAAGAAGGGAGTTCTAAAGGCCTCTGCATGCTTCTGTGGAGGGAGCTCTAGGGTGTTTGATAAAGGAAAAAGCAAGGTGCAGCGCAGTTTCGGTGTAACTGGTGCACTAGAGAAGGGGATATGAAAACGCATTCCTAGAGTGGATGTACATAGAGCACACGTGTCTACCTGTGTGCACACTTACATGCATCTGCTTTTCTTTTCACAAGGAAACACAGACCACTTACTACTTGGAGGGAAAGGAAACAGGGTAAAGGAGGTAGGGAGATGGGTCCTCCCATTCCGAGTTTTGACTTGAAAACTATGAACTTTTAGGGCGGCGGGGCGTATACAGTAAATGCCAAAGCATTTAGCACATTACTGCTTTCTAAGCAGAATCTGTAGCTCAGTGCAGAGCACTTGCCTGCCACGGTTGAGACATGTGTTTGATCTATAGTACCACAAAAAGAAAACCTCACTGCCCCTTCCTAGTCCACCCTCACACTGCTCCAGGGTGGTCTTTAAACACAACTTCTACTCAGAGGAACTTGGGGTCTTCAGAAAGCTGGCTTATTCTAGAGTATGTGTAAAATGACTCTTACACCTCAAAACCAGGAGGCTGTTTGAAGACATTCAGAGGTCCCCAGTATCACCATAAAGGCGCTGTGCCTACCCAAAGATGGGGCAGTTAGAACATCCAAGGAATAAAAACTCCAGGTGACTACAACAAGATGGTAGAGGACCACCTTGTTACTCTGAAAATCACATTTAAAAAATGGTTTTTATTTTTTGTCCTATACAAACTGTTGCATACTAATTAGCTGATTGATGAGAGAAACATTTTAAAATAGAATTCCAGGTAATAAATAAATTTTAGAATCAGAAAATTATTTTTGTACATGTTGATGAAATGGTGGATTTCATTTGAGATCATCTATGATTGTCAAATCAGACACAAGATTGATGGGAGACTTATGTTTAGTATCAGTAACTTAGTATCAGTATACTTGGTAGATGATATTCTTACCAATGCAATTGAACCTGAGTCTCTCAACCATTGTGTACAAATTGGAGACAAGTAAAATTACACTGATCAAGAGGAAACAACTAGCCAGATTTAAAATGTGGGACATTCTAGAGGACAAATAGATTTTTCTTCCAAAAATGATGTTTAAGTCAAAAACTGTGATTGAGACATTTACTTAGGGCCAAGATGAAAGAATAGGCTTGTGTTATCCTTCTTGCCTGAAACAAAAAGAAAAAGACAACAAAATATAAAACAATTTTAAGAGCCCAGATATCAAGCAGCAAAGGCTAGAGATCCCAGAGAAGTTGGAAACTAATGAGATGAGCCTAGAATTGTTTGGTGTCAGTGTCTTGAGAAAGTTCCCAGGCCTCTGTACAGATGAGTCACACCAGAGCTCAGTGAACTCCCTCATTTAGACAAAAGAGCTATATAGACCAGGGAGAACAAGGTAGCTAGCATTCCTGGAACACAGCGATGAGGAGCAGAGACGTGCACAGGTTAAGTCAGATCCACAGGTCTGCCTGCAGTGTGAGAGCCCCCGTGTGAGAAAACCACCCAGACTGCAAGGGGGGCGCGCAGCATGCTGGTCACCTGGCCTCTAGGAGGCAGTGTGCCTTGTATTCCAAACTGAGCTCTGGCTGCTTCCTTCCCCATGTGCTCTCCCTGCAGCCTCCCCATGTGAGGTATGCTGTGCTCTGAGCTGCTGTAGCCCAGAAGCTACAGGATCATCTTCAACCCTTTCTCCTCTCATGCCTGTATCTAATCCAGTTGTCTTCAGAATATGTCTCATACACTGTGACCAATGAGGAAAACATGGAAACCAGTTCCCTTTCCAGTAGCATCAAAAAAGAAGAAAACACTTAGAAATAAACTTAGCCGAAGCAGATGAAAGGCTTACACCCTGAAAACTATAAAATATTGCTGAAAATAATTGAAGAAGATGCAAATACAAGTTCATTATTCCTCATCTGAGGTGGTCAGAAACAAAATGTTTCAGAATTCAGAGGTTTTTAAATTTTTGGAATATTTGCATCATAGACTTTACAGGTTGAACATTCCTAGTCCAAATTCCAAAGTGCTCCAAATCCTGAAATGTTTTGAACACCTGATTTCAGAGCATTTGGGGTTTTTAGAATAGGGATGTTAAGTTGTAAATAGAAAGATATCTCGTGTTCACGCATTTAGAGATTGCAGATAGTTAAGTTGTCAGTGCTATCCAAAGCAATCCATAGATTCCTTCAGTACTGTTCCTATCAAAATCCTAATGATATTACTTGCCAAATAAATACCAGATAAATCCACCCCCAAACTAGTATGAAGTTTCCGGGGATCTGAAACAGCCAAAACAATCTTGAAAAAGAAGGAAGAAGTTGAAGGTCTCAAACTTAACTGATTTTAAAATGCACTACAGCCAGGCATGGTGATACACATCTATCATCATAACACTCGAGAGGCTGAGGCAAGATCATTGTGAATTTGAGGCCAGCCTAGGATACAGTGAGTTTAAGGCCAGCCTGTACTATACAGCAAGTCTCTGTCTCAAAAAAAAAAAATAAATAAATAAAATACAAAATATACTACAAGGGCCAGGGGTTTAGCTGAGTGGTGTAAGTGCCTGCTGGGTAAGCGGGAGGTTGTGAGTTCGATCTCCAGCACCAAAAAAAAAAAACCTACAAAGGTACAGTCAGACCCTATGGTGCTGGCATAGAGATAGGAAAGAGGAGGAAAAAAGAGGGCCAGAGGATTCAGTGAGGTAAGGAGTTTTCTGCTGTGGTATGCTTGACCAATTGGATGTCCACACCTAAAAGAATGGACTGACCTCTTACACCACCAATAAAAATTAACTGAAATGGACCAATGACCTAAACATAAAGAAACAATTAAAAAGAGAAAAGCTTCTTCACATTGGGTTTGGTATTAATTTATTGGACATGACTCCAAAAGCATAGGTAACAAAAAGAAAATGATGCATCAGACTGCAAATCTTAAAAATTTTGTGCATCAAAGGAGATGATCCATGCTGTGCATGGTAGATCCCATCCTGTAATTCCAGCACTCAGGAGGCTGAGGCAGGAGACTCAAGGCCAACCTAAGCCACAAAGTGAGTTCAAGGCCAGTTTGAATTATATAATGAGACCCTGTCTCCGAAAAAAAAAAAAAAAAAAGACCACAAAGAATGAAAAGGCAGCCCATGGGATGGCAAAAAGTATTTTTGTAAATCATTTATAGGGAATTATCTGTAGAATATACAAACGCTTGCAATTCAGTACAACAAAAGACCTAATTAAGAAACAAGCAAAAGACCCTTTAGATCCTTCTCTAAAGAAGGCACACAGATGGCCAGTGAACACATGAAAAGATCTTCAGCCTCGCTCAGGGTTGAGGAAATGCAAGGTGAAACTGTGGTGACTGCTGGGGTGTCTGTGATGGGTCGAGCCCTGGTAGACACGTAGGATGTGTCCACTGGGGAAGATGGCACGGCAGTCCTTTGAAATATTAAACACTAACTTAATACAACCCAGTCATTCCACTCAGGGCTTATACCCAAAGGAATTGAAAAGAAACAGATACTGTACACCCACATTCGTGGCAGCAAACTCGAAGTAGCCTGAGCCCATCTACAGATGAACGGATAAACAGACTGGATGTACACAGACAATGCAGTGTCACTCAGGGAACACTACACATCCACATGCAGGCCTTGGAGGTCTTCAGCAAAGCAAAAATATACTGGTCACAAAAGCACAAATGCTTTTATGATTCCCCTTTTATTTGAAAAATAAAAAATAATCAAAATTAAAGTGACAGAAAACAAAATGGGGTCGCCAGGTACTGGAGGAAGGAGAAATGGAGAGGAGGCTGTTCAGTTTTGCAAGTTTAAGAAAGGTTTTTGGGTTGGTTTTTTGGTGGTGTTATGATTAAGGGTAGGAAAATTTATTGGAGAAAAGGAATGAGGAATAGGAATAGCTCCTGAGAGACAGGAGGGAGCCAAATGGGTTGCGATTGGCTGCACAACCAATCCTTAACTCACTGCATTGTGCACTTAAGATGATTAAGATGGTGAGCAGGCACACTTGTAATCCTGGGACTTGTAAGGCTGAGGCAGGAGAATGCTGTAAGTTTGAGGTCAGCTAGGACTTCATAGCCAAAACTTTTTAAAATGGAAGGGCTTGGGCTAGGGATTTAGCTCAACGGCATAAGTGCCTGCCTTGCAAGCAGGCAGTCGTGAGTTCGATCCCCGGTACCGGTAAAAAAGGAAAAAGACAACAAACAAACAGACATAAAATGGAAGGGCTGGAGGTATAGCTTAGTGGCACAGTGCCTGCCTGGCAAGTGTGGGGTCCTGAGTTAAATTCCTGGTACCCACAAACAAACAGTAAGAAGGCAAAGTTTGTGGTATTTTTACTTCAATTAAAAGATACTTCTATTTCTAAAAAGATAATAGGAAGCTGAGCATGATGGCACATGCCTGCAGTCCCCGCACGTGGGTGCTGAGACAAGAGGATTGCAAGTTTGAAGCCAGCCTAGGCAACATAATGAATTAAAGCCAGCCTGAGCTACTTAATCAGACCCTGTCTCACAAACTAGTATAAAATATGATAGCAAGGTGGCGTAGGGTTTGTATACACAAACTGCATGACAAAGTAGTGTGAAGACCAGAGGGAAGAAATCGAGATGTGCTGTGTAAGGCCCTACACTCTAACATGCAGAGCAATTACTTGAAGTTCAACTGTGATGTGATGAATCCCTAAAACCATTAAAATAACAAGTTATAATGATAGCCAACAAAGGAGATAAAGGGAACCACTAAATATTCGCAGTCCAAGAAAGGGAAAAATAAACATGTAGAATGGGAAAGAACCATGGAGCAGATAGACTTAAACCTAACCTCATCATTACTACTGTATATAATCTTAACACCTGTTGGAAGCAGAAATTAGGGGTGGGGTAAAGGGACTGTGTTTATAACTCAGCAGTAGAACACTTGCATAGTGTATTTGAGGACCTGCGCTCCATACCCAGCAAGAAATAAATACAAATAAGTTTTTAAAAATGGGAAAAGCTATACCATACCAACACAAAGTAAGACAGAAGTTAATGTGGCTATATGAATGCCAGACTAGATGTGAGCACAAAAATCGTTTCTTAATAAAATGACTACTTTGCCACAAGATTGTTGTAGTTCTGAATGTGTATGTGATTCTGTAAAAGGTGATGGAACTGCAGGAAAAAATAATCAGGCCCACAGTTATACTCAGAGATTTCAGCATCCTTCTTTCAATAATTGGAAGAATTTACAGACAAATCAGTAAGTATATAACACTTGAACAGCATAATCAACTAATTTATAGTGTTTGGCATTTATAGAAAACTCCACTCAATAAAAAAAACAATACATGGGGCTGGGGATTTAGCTCAGCGGCATAAGCGCCTGCCTTGCAAGCAGGCAGTTGTGAGTTCGATCCCCGGTACCGATTAAAAAAAAAAAAAAAACAGAATACACATTCTTTTCAGGTGTATTCTAGACCATAAAACAAATCTCAGTAAAATTAAAAGGATTCAAATTCCCCCAAAATATGTTCTCTGGACACTTGAAAGTAAATAACAAATCAGTAACAAAAAGCTCTCTGAAAAACCTCCAAACATTTGGAAATTAACTTCTAAATAACCCATGGGATAAAGAAGAAATCAAAAGGGAAATTAGAAACCATTAACTAAATGAAAATTACTAAAATTTAGAAGATGCCACTTAGCCTGTACATAAAAATAAAAATGTAGGCTTAACATTTGTAGGGTTTTTTTTCACTCTTTGGTCTTTAAAACAGGCCTCGCTATGCAGTTCAGGCTGGCCTTGCACTCACTTTGTAGCCTAAGCTGGTCTCAAACTTGCAAGTGATTCTCCTGCCTCAGCCTCCTGCGTGCTGGCACTGCAGGAGTGCACCACCATGCCCAGCTTAAGATTCATAGTATTTTAAAATGTAGTTATACATCAATGTTTGCCATTTACATACATGCAATTTAATCCAGTTATATCTCTATAAAACTATTTTAAAAGACTGGTAGGTAGGACTCACAGATTAAAAAGAAGCTTGAGAAGCATAAGACCAAACGGAGTGTTCAGACCGGTGTCCTGATTGAAAGAAACAAGCTTTCAAAACACATTCTGGAGCCAGGTGTAGTAGCACACATCTGTAAATCTAGCACTCTGGGGGGTTGAACCATGAGGATCACAAGATTGAGCCCAGCCTGGGCAACTTAGCAGCTTGCTAAGACCATGTTTCAAAATAAAGCATCTTTAAAAAGACGTAGTGATGTAGCTGAGTGTGAAGGCTGTGGTTTCAGTTCCTAGTCCCAGAAAAGAAAGAGAGGAAGAGAAGCAGAAAAAAAGAGAAAAAGGGAAGGGAAAGAAAAAGACACGACGTAGCATTCTGTGCAAGGTAGGGTTGTCGTACAGTCTGAGTAAGGCCCAGCGTTGAGGGGTTATGGAGTTGTCTTAGGTGAGCCAGTGGCGTCAAACAGAAGCCCGTCAGGCATTTGTGGTGAGGGCTGAGCGCGGTCACGTGCTGCTTGCTATGACACAGTAACGAGGGGGAAACGTGAAAATATGGATAATATATTGATCATTGAAATTTGAATGTAGGTACATGGTTGATCATTAGATTACTCTTGTGTATTTTCAAATTTCACCTAAAACTTTGTGCTTTTGTGATTTTTTTTTTAAGAATTTTTCTCATCAAATCTAAGCTCTCCCGTGTTTTTTGCCAGCCTTCCTCCTTCAGCTTCAGGATCTCCCTCTGCTCACAGAGATCCAGTGTAACAAAAAGAGTGGCCTTTCACCCCTGTGTGCCTGGGGCAGTGTCAGTTGGGACCTGCCAGCCCAGGGAGACACTGGCTTGTAGTGAAGCGGGGGTGCTGACGCGCCCTTTCCCTCCCGTGCCTGTGCTTCCCGCTTGCCGCACCACACAGTTCCTTAGTTCAGCACCCTGCCCCTCCCCAGAGCTCTTCCTTAGCACACTCCTTCCTCCCCAGCTGTCCAAGGCGTGGCCCTGGTAGAACTTCTGGAAAGACCTGGCCACGTCTGTCCCCTGCCCTGCCCTTTCCTGTGCCTTCTACTGCCGCTCCACCCAGGGCGGGCTTGCTTCTAAATTAAATGAACATGTGTTTACTGGTTTCCCCAGTTCAGATAGCTTCTCAGGGTTAGGAGTTCACTGCCTTTTCACCTTGGGGCTGTGGCATAGCCTACCTCACCTGGAACAGTGATGTGCTTCCTCAGGGTACGGAGCAAGGTAGTGACAGACCCACAGGCTGACCCATAACCTCATCTTTTCCCAGACTTGATGAAATGGGGGGCGGGGGGTTTAGGAGCACTGGCATGTCTTCACCAGGCAGTTTGTACCCCAGAGTCAGCATCCCTGGAGCACAATCTGAAAGCTGGTAGAGCAGGGAAGGGGAGCACAGATGCAGACCACGTCAATGCTGTAACATCACATGGTTATCAATACAAAATGCGGAGGTGGTGATGCTACCTGCCTTTTTCACTACATACACTTTTTTTTTGTTTGTTTGTTTGAGGCAGGGTTTCACCGTGCAGTTCAGGCTAGCTTTGAACTCATTTGTAGCCCAGGCTTTTTGAGTTCTCAAACTCAAAAGCAGTCCTCCTGCCTCAGCCTCTTGAGCGCTGGGATTATAAGCATGTGCCATCACACATGGCTGTATACAGTTTTTATTGAACAAGTTTTCTAATTGTTTTTAGAATCCTCATATGATATGACAGAGTGATGTAGACAATTAGGGACTTTATATCTTTATTTTAAAATGACCACTATGATTCATAGAACATAACACTTAATGTCTGTCTGTATTTGCCATTTTCATAGCGTCGCCTTGGAGATGCAGCCAAGAAAGCCATCAGTAAATTGACGACCAGAACAGTAAAAAAAGGCGATAAGGTACAGTGATGACACAACTTCCCTTCTCTTAGAAGTTTGTTCCTGCCCTGTGTGTGTCTGAAAGCCCCTCAGCTAGCCCCTAGCTGCTCAACTTCAGACGTACTTAGCACTACCACAGTGCCAGACTTAGCTACCATTGCTCAGCTGTGGTTTCCTACAGGCTTCTTCCACTGAAACCTCGCACACATCTTCCAGAATTCTGCTTTGTACAGAAAACAACTAATCGTCATGTGCTGTCTTCATATTTCTTATGACCTAGTGTGCGTTTGGGGTTTGGTGCTTCACAGTTAAATGGAGAACTGAAGACCTACATTTCTGGAGTGTGGCAGTTACCAGGATGCTCTCTGCAGTGGATTAAGTGGTTTTGAAGAAGCACATCCCCTAGTGCTGGGGATGAACTCAGAGGCAGTGACAAAGGCTGTGGCTGAGACGTAACAAGAACTTCTGCCACAGCCCTGCCTCTGTGTGAAGCACACAATGACGCTTTCATATCATTAGACACTGCCTTCAGCATACTTAAAGAGTCAGCAGCGCGGAGGGAGAGATTGCGTCCGAATCTGCCTCCCGCCCCACACACTTGCTGACCAGTTAGCAAAGAGTGCTGGGAGGGTGATTTCAAAAGATTCTCTATTTCTTAAGCCTTCCCCTCCTTTTTTCCCCATTGCCTTGATGCCACTGTATCTAGTTGTCCTTGACATGGGGCCAGAGGTGGAGACTTTCTCATTTCCTAATACACTAAGGAAAGAGAAAAAAAATAAAAACAGCTGCGCCTCTCTCCAGAGGAGTGGTGACCAGTGTAAAAGTTTCCTTGGCCTTTGCCTGACATTACTGTAACTTGAGCTTCCCTAAAGCTATCTAACCTACCCATCTTCCTTTGTCCCCCAGGCTAGCACAAAACAATCCTGCCTTTAATTATTAAAGCCAACACACCTTCTTAGCTTGCACCCCTAGACCTGCCACGCATTACCCCACTGAGCTGCATTCCAAGTATAACAGCTCTGTAGGAAGAGAAAGTTAATTAATCTGGTGGCCGAACACATGACTGACTTTTCCTAACTCTTGGTAGTTGACACTGTCACCCCCTTTTCCCTTAAGCACTTGCAGAGCTGTTACTCCTGGCGAGGGTGTACTCAGGAGGTGACCGGAAGTGACTGGGCGAGCCTCCTGAGGGATCCCCAGGTTGCACAGCACCCAGTGAAGACTATTCAGACAAACCAGGAATGCGGTGGGAATGGAGGGTAGGACACGAACATAACAGTGATTCAAGGTGATAGTTAATGTGACTCTTGAAAAACATTAGAAAATTCTAAGACATCTCATAAGCAGAATTATCATTGATCATCACAACATAATTTCAAGACAAAGTAAATCGGCTTAGGTGGAATTTGAGCCAGTATCATTAAGCAAATGAAAGCTTATTGAGTTACTTTAATAGCTCTCACAGTGTGAGCATTTGCTTCCCATGGCTGCCACAGGAATATTCTTGGCTGAACTGTCGCTTCCGGGCATGAGGTGTGTATGTGACTTGTGCTCCTGTGTTCTTCCTTTCAGGAAACAGACCCAGACTTTGATCACTGTGCAGTCTGCATAGAGAGCTACAAGCAGAATGATGTGGTTCGGATTCTCCCCTGCAAGTATGTCAGCTTCCGTTTTGAGGTGGATGACATGAGTGTGTTTGGGGTGTCTCCCTTCAGAGTCAGTGCCCTGCACCCGGCTCACTGTGGGAGGCTGTGGGCCCCAGTGACAGCGCTGCCTCTCGGGCACTCAGTATACAGCACTGTGAAGCATGCACATTGTGCAATGGTTAGATGCTTTCGACTTAGGAGTTTTATCTAGGGTTATCGTGGGTTTCCGAAACAGTCCTCCATTGTTCCCACTTCTGAGTTAATCACTGGGCCCCCGCTGAGGGTCCTACCATAGGAAGCCTTTTCCTGAAGTGTGGCCATGCAGCACAGAGGACTGATGCCTGCCCTGTGTTGCTCCAAGTCAGAGCAAACAGCACCTGCTGTTTCCTGCATAGCTCCCCAATCTAAAAAGGAGTGTACCTTCCCATTTGTATTAGTCAGCTTTTTGTTACCTTAAAGTATCCAAGGTGGGCTACTTAGGATGAGAAAGGGCTGGTTTGTGCACAGTATGGGAGGTGCCAAGTGCAGGAGCAGGCAGGGCCAACTGGTTTGATCTCTGGGAAGGATGGCAGATGTCACGTTATAGTGGCAGCCCATGAGAGCAGAATGGTCACATCTTGAGGCGAAGCAGAAAGAGGCCAATCAGGCCAGGCTTGCATCTTTCTTAACAAGCAAGAACTACCAGAGGAGCCCACAGGAAATACCTCCCAACGCCAGTGGCCTAAGACTTCCCACTAGGCGCCCTGTCCCTCAAAAGTTTCACCATCTGCCAGCCACAGTTGGACTACAGTAGATGCTTGAGGGACCCACAGGTCAGAAGTAGCAGAGCCAAAAGAAAGGTCAGCCTTAAATGCTAGCACTTCTTCCATCGGACTGCCCTCCCTCCGGGGTGTCCATGGCAACTGTGGTGCCTAGAAAGACCGTGTTTTCTTTAGATGCATGATAATCTCTACCATAGTCCTGCACCAAGCTGGGGAATGTGAAATACTGAGAGACAGAATTCTGACCACCAGTTGGTAAATGTAAAAGAGAAGAGAAGCCTAAAACCATAGACTTTATCTTTGTTCTCTTCTCTTTTAAAGGGATCCAACAAGCCAGGCATGGTGACTCATGCCTGTAATCCCAGCACTCATGAGGCTTAGGTAAAAAGAGCATGTGTTCAAGACTAGCATAGGCAGCATAGCGAGACCTTGTCTCAAAAAAAAAAAGATCCACACAAGCCAGCCTTCGGTGTTGGGCTGGAGGTGTAATTCAGTACTAGAATACATGTCTCTAGATCAGCCCTCATTACCATGACGTTTCCATGCAAAAAGATTGCACATGCGGGTGAGTGAAACAGTAGTGAATAGCTATCTCTAAATGAGTTTCATTTTACTTCTTTACAATGTAATCTGTTTTGATCCTAGCAAAACCTGTGAGTTTTTGTTTTAATTTTATTCATTTGCTTTTTTTTTTTTTTTTGGTCCTGGGGATCAAACTCATGACCTTGTGCTTGCCAGGCAGACACATGCCACTGAGCTAAATCGCCAGCCCCTTGTTTGCTTTTAATCATAGAATTTAAGAATTCTATATTCTGAAACAGAAATGCAAGGTTCTTGAGATGCAGTCATTCCAGTTAACATCCAAAGAATATGTATCAAACTGTCAGCTACCCTATGCAGAATTACCTTACATGACGATCAGGTGTTTCTCACTTGTGTTCATTTACAGTCTTTAAATGTGGGGACAAAGGAAACACATACACACATACAAACTAGGGAAACAATCAGAGGCTACATTACAAAGCATAACCAGCAGATGCCTGCCTTGATCAGGAGAAAACCAAAACTACAAATTCCTGTATTCTGTCTACACTCAAGTCCCCCGGTCCAGTACTGAAGTGGGGGAGCCTTTCCTGGGTAGTGCTAAAGTAAGAGTGCCTTCCTCAGGGGAGTCTCCGCCTAAAATAGATTCCAGGAGGCTTGCTCTAGTTCTCTTCATCTCTCAAGCTTTGGCTTTCCCAGTTTCATTCTGCAGGCTTGCTTTCCTTCAGTTTAACCCAGGACTCTCCAGACCTGACCTTGCATCAGGCTGATTGAGGGGCGGTCAGAAACACACCCCGCGCGCCCCAGCGTTTAAATGTACTCTAAGTGACTGTGATGTCGGAAGGCCATCCCCTCCCGGTAGTCCAGATCCTGGGTTGAGCCTCACTTATTTCTGTGGGTGAAAGCAGAGAACTGCTTCTCAGGCTGCTTGTTTGAATGTCCGAGTCTTTGGCAGACTTAGCAGACTTTCTCTGTGCCCCAAGTCACAATCCTGCTCACTCAGCTGTCTTTACCCCTGTCTTTGATGAGTCACGCCATGCCTGCTGCCCTGTCAGACTTCTCCTCCGAGCTTTGTTACTCTTACTTTCAAGTCTCAGCAAGTCACAGCTTTCTCTAAACTATCACTTAACCTGCTTAGTAAAACATCAAGTGTAGTCAGGTGTGGAGGCATGGGCCCAGTCCCAGCACTCAGGAGGCTGAGGCAGGAGAATTGCTGCTGAGGCCAGCCTGGGCTACGTAGTTCAGTTCAGAGGAAGCCTAAACTATAGAGTAAGACCCTGTCTTAAAACTAAAAATCAAACAAAAAGAAAAACCAAGTATGATAAAAATTAACTTTCCACGTTGAGGAATATTTTGGGACAATTTTGTCCTAAAGCACAGTTCTGAGCCCCAGCATTGCTGAACTTTGGGATCCTGGGCATTCTTTGCAGGGATGGAGTAAGAGGAACTCTCTTGGGCATAGCACATGTATCAGTACCATTGGCCTCTGCCCACTGGTTGCCAGAAGCACCCACAACCCGGTGACCTGGAAGACGTCCCCCCGCACACAGACGTCTCCAGCCCTGTTTTATCTAGAGGGTTGCTCGCAAGTGCCTTTGCATGAGGTCTTCCCTCACACTGCTGCCAGTCTTGTCTAGGGTCCTCCACCTGCCTCTTCTGTCCCTCTGAGTCCCCACCTCCCATAGCGTCCTGTATGGCCACACCCCCAATGTCCTCCCTTCCCGCTCTGGACTGGCTAACAAGGTGGGCCTTAGGTGGCACCCAAGCCCTGCTGCCCCTGCTGTCCCTCCCTGTTCCGCTCTCCAGGTGTATGCATTCTCCTTGCACACCTTAGCTCACTACATTATCCCTCCCTCCTGGCAGAGCCAATGCCATAAAGAAGGTAAGGGCTCAGTGCCCTGGCCTCCCACCCCAGGCCACGGGGCATCCTGGCAGGGTGGAGACCCTGGGTCCGGGGCTTGCTTTTCCGTGGGCCTCAGCCAGCTCTTTTCTCCCCCGGGGACCTCGCTCTAGTCACTGTCTGCCCCTTCCAGCATTGTCCTTTTGTCACTGCTCGTCAGCATTTAATCCTACTCAAGCATTTCCTTTTCCAATTTTTAAAACTCTTTGAACCATCACCCACCACATACCATCCTTCAGTCTCTGCCCTCGAAGCCAGCCTTTGGCAGGGTCTAAATCCCTGCCTTCCTTCGCCTCACTGCCGAGGCAGAGACAGCTACATGGCTGTGCCTGTCTGTCCTTTGTCTTTAACACGCCCACCGGGGGCTGAACTAAGCCTTTGTATTGTGTACACCAAGCCTCTCGTGGGTGGCTCACTTTGGTTGCATGACCTTTACTTTTCATCGTTTGCCGCTCTCATTTATGGTGGACAGATGGCAGTTGGCATTGCTTTGGGGACCTCCTGCTTGTGTCAGTTGATTACAGTTGATCATCCTTTGGATGTTGGCCAACCTGCCTTAGAAACCGAGAAATAGTCACCTTAAAAGTTAGCCTCAAAATTTTTAGTAGGTAGCAATATCTTTGAGGGTGCCCCCACATGGATGAACACGTGTTTAAGATGCCCACTTGGGAGCTGCAGTGGACGTCTGTTTCTGGGGCAGCACAGCCTCTGTGTGATCTGCCACCGTCCGGGCTAGAGGAAGGAGCTCTTGTCACTGACCTTTCATAATCCTGGTCCTGTTTGCCAGGTCCTAGGTCTGGCACCAGAGGCTCCAGAGCCTTGAAAACAGCTCCCCTCCACATAGATTTCTGCCTACCAGCTCAGGCCTCGTCTTTCTGTAGCTGTGGGAGATGGAAAGGGCAAGGAGCTGCTCCTCGGCATTACTGGTTTTGTTTCTGCATTGTTCTGTCTGTCGTGCTTTTCGATTTCTCAGAGTATTTCTCACGGGAGAAAAGGACCTGTGGTTGAGAGCCTGATCTGCTTGCCCTTTACAGCTCCCTCGGCGTGTGAACTGCCTTCTGCCCAACCTCGCTCAGCCTCTGCATGCGGGCCCTTTCTGCTTTTGTGTGGGTTTTATTACTGTAGTCTCTGACTGTAGGAGTGGGACCAGGCTTCTCTGCAGGCCTTCACTGGCCCACCACACTACATGGTGCACATTGGCTAGTGAGAAGGTACCTGCTGGGATCAGCAGGGTGTTCTGGTCATCCCTGCAGTTTCCTATAAAACCTGGGCTTCGGTTGCCTGCTTGACAATACCTTGGGGTTAGCTGACAGGGGAAGGGGACAGGAACATTGGTTTTTTAAGTTTTTAGTATACGTGTTTGTAGTATGTAACAATTACGTTCATGATGAAGAGTTGGTATATGTGCATAACACACCGTAATTCTTTTTACTTTCACTTCCTCTGCCCTCCCTGAGGAACGTGGTCTTTAGAAGTTGTTCCATTAGATTTTGAGTTAGCTAAGATAGGGAGGTTTTCTTAATTTGTCTGTAAGAAACGGGTCAGTCTTTGTTGTCTTGTGTTAGAGTGCTTGACAGCATGGAGGAACTTGGAACTGTCTGGGAAAGCAGGGAGCGAGGCACTAGTCCATACATCCACAGACATGAAAGTGAAGCAGTTACTTAGGAACACCAGTGTGAGAAACAGCCTCTCACAACTCAAGGTTAAAGGAGGAGACAGCACATCAGTCATGTGTTAGAAATTAAACATGCGCATTAATACCACTTTGTCCTTTCAGACTAACCAGTAGTGCAAAAGCAAGCATACTGGCCAGAGCCGTCCTATAAACCTCCTTAAGCCAGGTTTCACCTCAAGCAGGTTTAATTGGGGCCCCTCCAGCATCAGAGTGGTTTTGGTCAGAGATCACATAACCTTATCTCTTCCCATCACTCGGCCAAGTCCCACTGTCCACCCTACACCGACAGACCTGACCCGGAGTTCTTCCCGGCCGGCCCAGCCCCAGGCTGCACTGGGAAAATCACCAGAGTCTATAAGCCACCCACACACACCAGAATGCAGGGAGGACATCCAGAAGGTGTGCCATGGTGACTTCTTCGGGGAGGCCCTGTGGGTTATGTGCCCCAGCGTGGGTCGGAGGACTTGTTCTAGTCTGGGTGCTGCTAGAGCCAGCCCTGACATCACGAACTGCTGCTGAAAAGTAACACTGAGGGCGTCCCTGCACCTGTCACCCTCTGGAGTGCTCTCCTGGTTAGGGGCCAGCAACAAGAAGCAGCCGTGACGCCTCATGAGTCCCAGATGGGTTTGGGCCTTGCCTCTGGCTCAAGGACTTCCCAACCCATAAGCAAGAGCCTTGGGGAATTGCTGAGGCTCTGGTAAACACGTTGCCCAGGCTAGATTGATGAGTTCAGACTTCAAGATAGGTCTTCATTCTTATTCCCAAAGAAATGGGCAGGTTTTCGAAGTCTCTTGTGCAGGGCTGCTGTAGCTTGGAGGGTGATTCCTGCGGCTCCCTCCCAAGGAGCACAAGTTTTTGATCTAAACATAACAGGCTTCTCCTTGACTGACTTTATGTCCCCTCCCGGGGTGTGACTTTCTCCTTTCCAGAATTTGAGAAGAAATCACCCACACCTGCCCCTTGGAAGCTTTGGCTGAAACTTGCTAAGTGTTACTTGGGACTGTCAGTTTGCCCCTTTCACCAGTTCTAACTGCTTTGTGGCTTTTACAGATATTAAACCTTAGTTGAGTTTTGTGAAACCAGTAATTATATACAGAACTTTTCTGATTTAACTGTGACTTAGTATCTTTTTGAAATTCAATTTTTTATATTAACTATTATAGAAAACTTCATTAACTTGCAAGGTATGATTGTCTTCTTAATAAATTTTCCAAGTTTCCACAAGTCTTTTTTAGAATTTTGATAAAATGTGCAAGTTAAACACAATGGACATGTCTGCAGTCCTAGCTGCTTAGGAAGCTGAGGCAGGAGAATCCCTGGCTCCCAGGAATACAGGGATCCTCTGTGCAACATAGTGAGACTCCTCTACCTTTTTTTTATTTTTTTAAAAGACAGGGCACTTAGCTAAATTGTAATAGAATGCTTGCTTAACATGCACAAGGTGCTGGCTTTCATCCCCAGCACTGCAAAAATAAAGTCCAAACAGCCATATCACACTTAGCAGTTCTCATCACAGTGTTACTGATAAGTGAGATTGGTCTCAGAAGATTTTCTGCAAGTTTAATCCCTTCATTTGTCTCTTATAACTACTAATAAATGCCACAATGAGGAAAAACAGACTGACTAATATTCCATTTTTTGCATTGTGACCAAGTAGATTTTCAGATATAATTGATGGTGTGGTTCTCCATTATTTTATAGGCACGTCTTCCACAAATCTTGTGTGGATCCCTGGCTCAGTGAACACTGTACCTGTCCTATGTGCAAACTTAATATTTTGAAGGCCCTGGGAATTGTGGTATGTTTCCTGCTTCATTGTTGCTTTGTGTAGTTTTACATCTAAGTATGATACAATATAGTAAGTGTATTATAATGTAACACGGCGGCTGGGGATTTAGCTCAGCGGCATAAGCACCTGCCTTGCAAGCAGGTGGTCGTGAGTTCAATCCCCGGTACCGATAAAAATGAAAAAGACAAAAAAAAAATATATATATATATATATATATATAGTAACACAATTGGTATTAGGAGACATGATTTAGTGACACAAAAATAAACTGACTCTTGCCATGTACTTTGTTAATCTAACAGTGCCTTTCTTCCAGGTTATTTTAAAGTCTAGAAACTCCAGAAAAGAAGGTTATAACTGTGCTAGTCTTCTTTTAAAAGTGTGTCTCTGTGGGGTGGTGGGTGTGTGACACAAGAGACAAGGACCAGAGAGTACCTTCTCTCTGGTCTCGGCAGCGTGGCGTGTGGCAGGGCGTCTGCCTGGCGTGCGTTGGCCTCTGGGCTCCTCACCGCATCGGTGCACGCACAGTCAGTTGTGGACTTGGACTTTGGTGCAGTAGTCATTCTTCTGCATTCAGTGTAACATAAAAAATGATCAACTTATGTCCTCATTGGTGTTTTTTCCTCTAAGTTTGCCCCTGGTCTCTTGGGGGCTTGTCAGCAGCAGGCATCGAAGGCACGTGGCGACCAGAGTCCTTGCAGAGCCTTGACTAGCCTGACAAGGGCATTGCCAGGTGTGCTGCACAGCTGAGATCACCTGTCACAGTGCCAGGCTCACACTGACTGGCTGTGACACCAGAGATACCTTGTTTTCCTTGCTTCAAAGGAGTATATATCAGGGCTATGCTTCTGTAAGGAAAATGAAATATTTTCTGATCTAAAAAAAAAAAAGAATGATCTCCTCATGCTACAGAAAGCTGAGTTTGGTCCAGCAGGTAAGCTCTGCATTTTACCTTATGACCCAAAGGAGGTCGCAGTAGTCCTGTTTGAATTATGCTGTCAGCTCATGGGTTTCCTGCAGGACAGCTGGCTGGTGTGCCATGCTGGTCTGCTTGTCCAGAGAGCGTGTCAGCAGTGAAGCAGGTTAACCCATGGTGCTGGCTCTCAACTTTTCTGACGTTGTGAACTAGGTAATCCCTTCTCGTGGGGACCAGCTTGTGCATTATAGGCTGCAGTAGCATGCGTGGCCCCACTGCTAAATGCTAGTAATGTGACACCCCAGACCCAACACTCAAAACATCTATATGCCTTGGGTTCCAGCTCCTCAGGAAGCTGAGGCAGAGGGATCACTTGAGTCTAGGAGTTTGAGGTACATAGTGAAGACCTTAAAAAAAAGACAATCGGGGCTGGGGATTTAGCTCAGCGGCATAAGCACCTGCCTTGCAAGCAGGCGGTCGTGAGTTCGATCCCCGGTACCGATAAAAAGGAAAAAGACAAAAAAAAAAAAAAAAAAAAGACAATCTCCCAACATTGGGTGGGGGCAACTCCCCCCTGGGAGACTGATTACCAGGGAGTCTCCCGTGCTGCCTGGCACTGTCAGGTCTTACCAGCCTTAGTCACTGCCTCTTGCGTATTCTTTTAGGTACTGATACCCTCTCCGTTTTAAATGCAGATCCCACGGAAGTATATTACAAGCTGTCATGGTGCTTTAAATATAACAAGCCTCTTCTAACTGGTGTCTTTATAAGCATCGTTTTATACTATGCTGTAATTATTTTTTGTACCAGGAACTGAACTCGGGGTTGTTTTAAATAGAACTTTGGGGGATCTAAAATAGAATTCTTTTGCCTTCAGTTCTGGATTTGCTTGGCTGTGATTTCTCTCTGTATAAACTTTTCTCAGCCACGTTTCCCAACTGTGCTTTTCATATGCTGTCAGCTATAAGCAGAAAGAGCTAGAGGTTGCTAGGGGAACCAGATATTCATATTGTTAGGTTGGAAGATTCTTACATGTACTTTTTAATTGGTAAACCTTGGCCCCAAGCAGTTGTATACCTCTCCTTCAGTATTCAGTGCTTAGGTTTTAAAAGAAATCATTTTCTTTGTTTAAAATTTTCAGTTTTGATCTGCTCTTGACTGTATGTTTTATATGTGTCCAAAGGTAGAAAATATTTATAAACTGAGTACCAGATAAATAGGAAATTTCAAAGAAGTTAACAAGACAGAAGAGGAGTTTTTGTGTTACCTCCTGTCCCTCAACATTAACATTTAACATTAGCCAAAGTGACACCATTATTTCCTTAGCTGAATATCTTTCAGCATTATAATTGTGACTCTGTCTGTAAGCTATGTCTATGAAAGGCCATGCTTTCTTTATAAAAACGCAGTGGACAGTTTTTTAGTCACTCAGTGAATTGTGGTTTTCCTTTGTACCATTTTTAGGAGATCAGTTTGTCATTTTGAAAAAAAACCTTTTAAGGTTAGAAAAGAAAAAACTAGATGGACAGGGAAATGAGATGAAACTTCATGAGTAAAACTTGTGAAGTCTGTAGTAGAACGTCAGACATTCAGGAGTTTATCAAAGAGCCTTTTATTCTTACAGTTCTTAATCTGGAAATATTTTGCAGCCAAATCTGCCATGTACTGATCATGTAGCATTTGATATGGAAAGGCTTACCAGAACCCAAGCCGTTAACCGAAGATCAGCCCTAGGTGACCTTGCAAGCGACAACGCCCTCGGCCTTGAGCCACTGCGAACTTCGGGGATCTCACCTCTTCCACAAGATGGGGAGCTCACCCCCAGAGCGGGGGAAATCAACATCGCAGTAACAAGTAAGTGGCCCAGGCCCCGGCAGCACCCCTACTTCTGTTAAGCATGCAGTGACCTCTAAAGAAGTTGAGGCCACTGGCCAGCAACTCTGAATGGAGAGGAATGTGCTCTTCTGTCAGGTCAGATGTTGGAATCGCAGGGCTTTCCTTATCGCAAGGAGCCAGTGTATTGGTATATGATTAATAGGAATGACTGAACTTGAAGAGTAGCCATGCAGAGCTTTGTTTCATAAGCTTGTGTTGGCACCTTTGCGTGATACATGGCTGTTAAAGGGAGACAGAGTGTGGTACGGGCCAGAAGCCACGCGAGCGTGCTGCACAACTGAGTGCTGTTGTGCCCATCTTCCAGGGTGCAGGCAGCTTACTAGACTGTTAGCCTGAAAACTCAGAGCTGCAGAAACAGTCGAGGTGGCCTGTCCATTGCTCTCTTTATTTTGTACGTTTTATGACAATTTGGATTCTTGGTGCCTAACCCTTTGGTGTAATTGCACATGAGGTGGGAGAAAAGCCAAAGTGCTATCCACCTTAAAGAAAAATGTGACAGGCTAGTTAGGATCGTGACTGTTAAACCGCTGACAGGCAGAGAAGAGAGCACCAAGTGTTTTGCGGGCAGTGCCCAGGTGTGTGAGTGGGCCGAGGCATGCGTGGTGGACTGTGTGTGGGAGTGGTAGGCATTCACCCTGTAACAAGTCAGCCCTTCTCTTCACTTCCATCCTTTACATGCAGTCTCCATCTAACAGCCTTTCACCCATGTCTCACTACCGCTCTGGCGCTGCCTTTTCCTGTTTATGCTGCTGCTTGCCTAGAGCTTCAAGCCCTGAAGCTGATGGGACTCCACTTAACACTGGGAGTCAGTAAAACGGGGAATAATAGGTTTATGAAACAGTTTCCTCTTTACACAGTAAGACTCACGCAGTCTATCCAACTGAAATACATGCTTTTAACCAACCAGAGATTATCCTTAGAAAATGATTTCCCATATGTTACTTTATCTGTTTCCTGAACTCCAAAAGCCTCCATTCTTTGCTAGTTTGGCTCATTTCTTACTATTTGCAATGATTTGTTTCAACAGCATGTCTCAGTTTTCTTACTCTGGCCTTTAGACTTTATGATCTACAATTTTAAAAACTGACCCTAGTAGTAATAAAGGAGACAAGCGTTGGTTATTAATGAGTTCTTATAAACCCTTCAGCAGTCACACATTTATTGAGCACCTACTACTACATTAAGTTCAGACTGTTATATTTTGTGTAGAAATGTTCTTGAATATCTTACATTATTTTATGGTAAATATGACTTTATGTACCAAATTAATCACCTTCAGCAGAATTTATGCTTGGTTCCATAAATAAAATTGATAGCATTAAACTAGACCCATGGCAGCTGTCCTTTCCCCTGAAGCCCCCATAGCCCCTTAGCAACCATGATGCAGTCAGCAGCACCCACTGTGTGCCAGGCACTGGTCTGAGTGGGCCACAGAGGGTGTGCTGGCTGGGGCTGCTCTGTGGGTCGCTGTAAGGACCTCGTGATGCTGGGTCCTCCCTGGACACTCGTTTTCATAAGTGAAATGACCCTCTGTGCGTATTCAGAATTAGGGATACAAGTGTAATTGAAGTTCTGAGTGTTAGTGTGCTTATCACGTGTAAAAGAACCCGAGAAGGGCTGGGGTAGCCCATTGTAGTACACGTGTCTCCTACGCGGAGCACTACGGAAAGGAGAGGAAGCTGTGCTCATCTCCTGGATGGTGATAACTATTAACTCACTTCTGGATGTCTTTAAATGCCAATATACATTTTTTAACCTACAATACATCCGTGTTTTTTGGTGATTTTGCATGGATTGTGGAAGGTTCAGTTTGACCTAAATAAAAAGCTTGCCTCTAACAACAGGGCAATGGCTGCACTAAAGAGTATACTAAGCACTTTGATAGCACACATTGATACTCTCCCAGAACAAACCTCACACCTGGAGCCTTTGGAGAGCAGCTCCTGAACTTTACAGTCTAACAAAAAAGCAGTGAACTTTCCCTAGAAAAACGCCTCTACTCACACAGTTTTGCAAGCAGCTTTAGTATTCATGAAGCACAGACTAAGAAATATCCACACACCAGGTACAGTCGGGTGTACCTGTAACCCAGCCGCTTGGAGCCTGCGGCAGGAGGGTCACAAGGTCAGGGCTAATCTGGGCACCCTGGCAAGACCCTGTCTCAAAATAAAAGCGAACAGCGGTGGAGCTATAACTCAGCGGCGGAGCGCCCCCTGGGTTCAATCCTCAGTACTGCCCCAGAGAAGAAACCACATTTCATACATCGCGTCTGAATGTTTGACCCTCCAAGTATAAATATTTCTTCTCTGCCTTCTTTCAGGTATAGGGGGCATTTTACTGAGTAACTTGTTAAACCACCCCGCGTTAGTATGTGCTCTTAAGGAATATTTTATAGTTAAGACTTTTTAGGAAATCAGATTGGTTTTGGGTTACTTTAGAAGTTCTTCATAAATACTGTTTTTATAATGTTATCTTGACTGAAAGAGGTGAAGTAGTAACAAAATTCCTGGATGGAGACAGAGACACTAGATAAAAGCCTTAGGGCTCTGGGGCCAGGGATGTAGCTCAGCAGAATAAGTGCCTGCCTAGCAAGCACAGGGTCCTGCGTTTGATTCCTGGTACCAAAAAAAAAAGTAAAGAAAAGCCAGAGGTATCAACTCTGGTGGCCAGCACCTTGTCAGTCACCTCCCCTTCTACTTCTCTATGAAGCCAGAACACCCAGCTTGCTTGGCAGCAGTGGGACCGCGCAGGCTGGCACCTGTTTTCTTCAGACACCAAGGAGATGTCCTTTTAATGTAACTAACCTACGTAGACCCTGAGAGAGAAAGGATGTAGACCTGAAGGCCACGGGAGCCAGCTTACAGCCTGCTCGGAGCACCCACGAGACCTCTGAGAGCCCCTGCTCCACAGTTCCCTGAGGCTCTTCCTAGGAATGAGTGATGCGACCAGACAGAAATGACAAAATGAAGCTTGAAAGATGGTTATCATTGCGGTTACTCAACTGTCTTTTAAATTACATTAAAGGAAGATACCGATGTCCACGTGCAGTTTCATATGCACATTTTTTCTGTGCGCCTTTGGTGGCTACACTCCTTACGTACCTCATGTCCTACACTGGAAGAAACGGTTGGGCCATGCTTTCCTTTCTCCCTTGCACCTTTGACCAGCACTTCCACTAACCTTCTCCAGTTAGTAGCTCTCTGGCAAATCTCCTCTGCTTCACTTCCTTGAGCCAGTCTTGGCTTACACCTCCGCTGACGTCTGCTTCGTTGCATATGAGGGAAATGTTGACATCGATTTGACTTAAACTTCTCCCCAGAATGATTTCCTCCCTTTCCTTTGTCAACAGAAGAATGGTTTATTATTGCCAGTTTTGGCCTCCTCAGTGCTCTCACACTCTGCTACATGATCATCAGAGCCACAGCTAGCTTGAATGCTAATGAGTAAGTAACAAATTGTTTTTTGGATTGCATGTGCCAGATGATCCCCAAAAATATGTAGAATAATTTTCGTAAAGGAGATGAGAATTGACTTTCCACCAGCTTCATACTGATCCTAATGGGTCATAGCTAGCAAAATAACTTATTTCACGGACGTGTATCTTTAACTAGTTACACAGAATGGGAGTTTACCTTGTTCCACAGGAATAGGTCACTAAGGGAAAAGATGTAGCAGGCTTCAGTAGCCGCGAGCACTGAAGGACTGGCAGTGTAGTACCAATACCAAGGGAACCAGTGCCGCGGTGGTGTGTAAGAGTGTCGGCAGCCTCATCGCTGCAGGAGTAGCACCGCCCTAGGCTTAGTCAGTTTGGGGGACACCAGCACCCTTCACTGCATCAAAGACAGTGACGTGGATGTTTAGCCTGCAGGAAAGGCCATCAGAAGGAAGACCTGCTGTTTCTCAATGTCAACAAAGACTCTGGAAGAAGGGGAAATTAGCATAAATTTCTTTAAAGGCCAGAATGAGAACCAGAGTAGGCCAGGGAAGGCAAGTTTCACCACAGTAAAAGAAGACCATGAGTCAGCTAGGAGACTGTGGTGGGATGGTTTGCTGCAGCGAGCTCTCAGGACCAGGGTGCAGGTGGAAGCTGAGTGTCGCTTGGTGGGGAGATGTTCTTCAGAGGATGGACTGCTGGGCTGGATGACAGTGCCGGTCCATGTTTTTAAAGGACTAGAAAACTGCTGACCATTGCTCACCATTACTTACAGTAGAGTAAGCCATATACAGTAGGACAGCTTTCTGTTACAGTTATTTTCCTGGCTTCTGCTGAATCAGTAACCCAAATAACTGAAAAAGTTGAGCCCACATGTGAGGAATAAGTTGGTAGGTCAATAATTTGAGCTACACAGATTTGCTCACTCATTTATTCTAGCAGATTTTAAACTCTGAAAACCTCTACCAGCATCATCCCCATCCAGATAAGGAGACTAAACCATGCCTGGTTTGTTTGGATTAGCTAAACAAGACTTGTTAGGGAACGCTTAAGATTCCTAATGACCCATTTCTTTACAATAAGTTGATTTTCCAAAAGCAGCTTCCCACAGCAGGGACATGGGACAGTTTTTTGACTTTGTTTTTTTTTTAAATTTTGAGCCTTTACTCCTCCATCCTTTCTTTTGGCAGATTCATAAAAACTAATTAGAGATGAGAGCAACACCGGGTACTGCCCACATTTGAACCTAACTGGCACTGGAGGACTTCTTGCTCCCCATTTTCAGTTGTGTCCTGGCAGTTTGGGAGATTAATCATAACCAGACTGTCTCGAACAGCTCATGTAATATTGTCCAGATGTAGAAACAGCAGGCACTTCACTTCCCCTTGCGTGATGTGATTTCATCACTGCTGATTTGATCCCTTGGGTCAGTGCTTGCTGACTGACTATGATATTCTCCAGCCTCAGGGTGAGTCCTGCTGCCTCATTCAGAAGGTCAGCAGCCAGGTTCTTCTGTTCGGACTGC